AAAAATGCACAGAATTGATTTTGATATGTTTTTTCTACCAAAAAATGTACAAAGGACCCGGAGCAATGGCGATACCTCAGCGCATATCTCCTCAGGTTGCCTGCTCGATCGACTGGCTTGAAATATCGATGTGACTTTCTAGAACCGTTGAAATGGAAAACAGGCATCGCATTTTCAAAACTACATGTAAATAATCAAAACCTCATGTAAATATAATCAAGGATTCTTCCATATGCGGAGTGGCGCTGATATGTGCGTAATAAAAACAGCTAATTCTCGCTAGAAGAAACTATTTATACGTCTGATCTGACATAGTGCTTGCGATGTCGCCGTTGCACAATTCAAATGCGTAATACAAACAGCTAATTCTCGCTAGAGGAAACCATTTGTTGCAACCGATCTGACATGTTGCTCGAGGTGACCAGGCCGAGTCGCACAGTGATGGATGTCCGCTCGTGTCTCCGTGATCTGCGTAATCGCAGGAAGTTATCGATCCGCGCGCGAAGGCGTCCCCGTGCGTCGCCGCCGTTGCTATTCCCGGCGCCGCCGTCGCCGCCGCCGAGCACGACGCCGCGGCGCGCGTTCGCCCTTGAATGCTTGATGACCTGACGCCGCGCCGCGCCTCCGCCGTCCCCTGGGAGGACATCCGCCGCACCGCCGGCCACTTCGTCGCCAGTTTTATTCTTCTCCTCCACGGCATTTCTACTCCACGATTTTCCTGCACATTTTGTCGACAGGTTCTTTCTGGCGAAAAGTCGCTTGTATCATCGTTTCTCCTATTCTCTGTTTCTGATCCTCTTCTCTTGTTCCCCCTGTTTTTAACGCACCGCCTTTCTCTCCATTGATTCTAGGGTCTACTCTGTTTGATGGTGTCGTGATATTACTTTTATCTCAAAGACGATTGTCTGGAATTGATTGATTGATTAGTGAATCCTGGCGCGTCAACTGCTGTCATTTGTCCCATAATTATAATTAATGTTTTTTATCGCAGGAGGTGACGGTGATCTGGATGTTGAGGTTCGGCGCTGACCTTCCTGTCGCCTTGCGGTTTTTTCCCCAACCAGGGATCTCCCATCAGTGGGGAGCTTCCCCAGCCGATTTTTGACTGGACTCCCAGCTTGTGTGGTAATGTAGATGGAGTAAATGTAAGTGTTTGTATAGACCAAGGTAGAGGAAGTGAAGATAGGCGGTCCGTAGCCAGTTCGTTAGGGTACTGCTCCTTCATTTGCCTGATGTTGATTGAATAAATCAAGGAAAACTGCCGATCAGAGAAGCCGTCCGTAAAACGTCCCGCTGAATTGGACCTAGCTATGTA